TGATGAAGCATCTGCTGTCACCACCAGAGCTCAAGAAAAGAAGAGCAAACAAAACATCAAGCCCCAGCAAGTGTCAAAAGGCGATATCCTGAAGGAAGCACAGAAGAAAGATCCTTCACTGTAAAAACCTCGGGACAATGCCCAGAAGAAAGTCGAGCACAAAACCAAGGGGAAAGATACTTATAGAATAGAGGACCAGAAGGGATTTCTATACCTAATCTATTAAGGGAGTTGTACTGGGGAAGTTAAACAGATCATAGTACCAACAGAATACAGTACTCAAGTGATGAAGTTGGCTCATGAATCATTTGTGGGAGGACACCTAGGAACAAAGAAAACAGCAGACAGAATCACCAGTAACTTCCATTGGCTTGGAGTTATTGGAGATGTGAGTAGATTCTGTAGGTCATGGGACATCTGCCAAAGGACAATACCTAGAGAGAAGGTACAAAAGTGCCATTGAGGGAGATGCCTCATAGAAGAGCTGTTCAGCAGAGTAGCTGTAGAATTGATTGGGCCACTAGTGTCTGTATCTGACAAGGGCAACCGGTATGTTCTAACAGTAGTTGACTATGTGACACGTCATCCAGAAGCAATAGCACTGGTAAAAATAGAGACAGAGAGAGTAGCAGAAGCCCTCCTGGAGATATTTCACACAGTAGACTTTCTGAGAGGAAACCTGAGTGAGAGAGGGTCCCAAGTTTACCTCAGAACTGATGCAAGAAGTGTGCAGACTCATTAGTACTCAGCATCTGTTTACTACCCCATACAATTGTAAATGTAATGTACTTTGTGAGAGAGTCAGTGGAGTTTTAAAAAGTATGCTAAAGAAGATATGCCAAGAGAGACCACATGACTTGGACAGGTACTTGCAGGCAGTATTATTCACTTTTTGAGAAGTCCCACAAGCAAATACAGGATTTTCACTCTTCAAACTAATGTATAGAAGAACAGTATGAGGTCTGATGCAAATATTGAAAGAGTTATGGATGGGAGAAGAAGAGTCAGAAGTAAGGAACACATACCACTATATGTTAGACTTCAGAAACTGACTAGAGGAGGCCTGTCAACTTGCTCAAGAGTTTGTATGCAGCTCAAGGTAATCAAAAGTATTTTTATCACAAAAAGGCCATGGATCAACATTTTAAGGTTGGATTAAAGGTCTTAGTTTTGCTGCCCACAGACCACAAGAAACTCACCCTTTAATGAAAAGGACCTTTTGAAGTACAGGAAGTATGAGATGAATGTGAACGGGAAGACCAAGATGAACGATGCCAATCTGTTGAAGTATTTTGGGAGCAGCTATTGAAACAGAGATGGATGTTGCAGGTGTGGCCATCATGGATGCAGAACCAGAAGACAGTGACTTTGTCTTACAAGATGAGAACCTACTAGACCTAAGACAACTAGGTGGAGATGAAACATACAAAGGTGTCATCATCAGCGAAGAACTGACTGGCAAGCAAAAAAAGTGTTACAAAACCTACTATGCCAGTACGCAGATATATTCAAGGGTAAACCAGGAAAATCAGACATTTTGCAACATAAGATTGAGACCACAACCAGGGATCCAGTCAGAGTGAAGCCCTATCAGATGTCTTATGCAATGAGAGATCTGATAAAGCAGGAAGTTTAGGCAATGTTGGAAGCTGGAATCATCGAGGCTTCAAATTCAACCTACTGTTCACCAGTTGTAATCGTGAAGAAGAGGGACGAATCAAACCATTTCTGCATAGACTTCTGGAAGCTGAACCTCATGACGAAGTTAGACTCTGAACCTATGGGCAACCCAGAAGCCATCATGGCAAAACTAGATGGGGCCAGGTTCTTTTCAAAGATTGACCTCAGTAAAGGTTATTGGCAAATCCTGATGGAGACAGGATCTAAAGAGAAGACAGCATTTGTGACACCAGTTGGATGTTATCAATTTAAGTGGATGCTATTTGGGTTAGTCAATACAGCAGCAACATCCAAACGCACGATGAGGTGGATGCTGCACAACACCACCAACATCGAGCACTATGTGGATGACATTCTGACACACACACACACACACACACACACACACACACACACACACACACACACACACACACACAC